AGCCGAACCGCGAAGTTGGGACTTCCGACAGCGGGGCTCTGCCGCTGGCTCCCGGCGGCCACTGACAGCCGCACGAGGCGGGGACACCACTCGCTGGGTTCCTCCACCTGGAGCTGCACCTCCCGCAGTGAGGCTCCCTCAGCGCCAGGGGAAGTGGAGGCACAGGGGCGGGTCCCAGCTGGCCAGCCCTGAGGGCGGGGCCTCGCCGGGCCCCAGCAGGCCATCAGCTTCTAGGGGACCTTCGGGGCGAGGCTGGGATGCCTTCCCAATGGGAAGGGGAACAAGAGACGGAGAGATGGGGTGGGGAGGAGGGGAGACACAGTTCACCGGGAGCACAGCCTCGGCGTGGATGGAGAGAAGGTCCAAACGGTAAAGCTGTACCATCAGCATCTGGAGACGTGTTAAAGGGACAGTTATTACGAAAGAGAGGACACAGCACAGTAACGAACCAAAATCTTTCCATCGTGACACTGTGATTAAATGATCTTCTGTGGAGTGGACCGCCTCTTTTTATACAACTATTAAAATGTGTGATTACTTCATACTTACCTTTATTTTCAAATTTTATGCAACTGTTAAAAATATCAAGTCATTATTTAATATTCAGCTTTATTTTATAAGCCATGAAAGACACAACTATGAGAAGTCATAATAAAAAACTCAAAAAAATTAATCCTTCAAAAAATAAAAGACCCAGTTAAAAAAAAAGGGGGCAATCAGAATGAATAGACATTTCTCAAAAGTATAGTTGGCAAATAAATACATGAAAAACAGTTCAACATCACTGCTCATTAGAGAAATGCAAAGTAAAATAATGCTGAGGTGTCACCTTACTCCAGAATGAATGGTGATCCTCTGGAAATGAAATAATAGCAAATGCAGTAAAGATGGAATCCTTCTACATTGTTGGTGGAAAGGAAGACTTGCAGGATCATCATGGAAATCTGTGTGGAGATTCCTCAGAAAACTAAAAATAGAAATTTCTTTTGACCCAGCTATTCCCCTTCTAGGTATTTTTCCAAAAGAATTACACTCACCGTGTTACACTGATATATAAACACTCATGTTATACCACCACAGATTGCAATAGCTAAATCCTGGAAACAGCCTATATGCGCATCAACAAATGAATAGATAAAGAAAATGTTTATACACAGTAGAGTATTTATACGCAGCGGAGTACAACTCTGCCATAAAGAAGGATGCACTTGAGGCATTTTTAGGTAAATGGATGTGCTTTTATACCATAATGTTAAGTTAAGTAAATCAGACACACAAGTGTAAATATTGCATGGCTTCTCTTACATGAGAAATCTGAAATATAAATAAGGAGCAAAATAAAACATCAGTAATAAGTAGGGAGATCTTTTTCAAATGGGAAAGGGAACAAGAGACAGAGAGATGGGGTAGGGAGGAGAGGAGAGAAGACTAAAAAGGGGTAGAAAGAGAACTGAAAAAAATGGAAATAAAGTTTTTGCAAATGGGAAGAGGGCCAAGAGTTGGAGGGGGCAGGGAGGGGGTGGGAGAGGAAGGGGACGAAAGGAAGTTAGGATGTGTTACCTGATTGCCCCAGCTGTCCTCAATAAATGCTATCACTATGTACTTCAGACACGGACTAATAAAAAATAAATTCAAAAGCACAGAAAAGGCACGAGGAAGCTTAGGCACACAATGATAAGAAAGGTGTATTGGTAGACAAGCAAAAGAGGCACAAGTAGAGTCACCCTTGGATTACAAGAACACACATCTGGGACGATCTACAATGATGTCAGCAAAACCCACGGGGAAGGAAATACTAAAAGGTTGATATGGTATCATCTAATGGCTGGAGGGGTCAACATTTTTACTATTTATGTTGTAGCCTGCTGTATCTTTTGATTCTAAAAGATGCGATAATTTTTAACAGGTTAAAGAGACTCTCTTTTACCATGCATCTGTTGACACTCCCTTTCCCCCAGTGTCTCGGGGGACACTGAACTGTGCTGCCCTCCACCCCTACATACAGAGACAAGGAGAAAACTGCCCTTTGGGGATGCATAATGCGAAGTCCGCGTGGACAGAGATCGGACCGAGCTCATCCTTCTGGTTTCTCCTTACTCGCAGGCATGCAGCTCCCTTCTTTCCAGCTCAAAGCTCTACTCTCACCCTTCCTTTTCCCCTACAACTCTGTGGGGTTACTGTTCTTTTGCCCCAAGCATATTTACACTGTTAAATAGTTTATACTGTTCTGTTTTCTAATTATCTTGTATTAACTCCACATTTAAATCAAGTTCTGCTCACTAAATCACTGCTGACTTGCATGGGACCTACATGATACCACAAAAAAATGTGACCTTCAGGGACAGATGGGTTCCTGCCAGCCATGTTTCCACAGATGTCCTACCCATAGCCACCACCTCTGACCAAGGAGCACAGAAACAAGGTCATGGAAATGCGTATCATAGACTATGCTGTATTCTTGGAAGCAAGCTTTCTTTCCTGTGTGTCCCAAGCCGAGGAGAATCAATTAAAGAAAGGGAGGAGGTTAGGGTACTGCTCAGGCAGCTCTAAAGTCAGCACTAACATCTTGAAGATCAGTCTAATAAACAAAGAACAAATCAATGTAAGGCAGTATGTACGTTTCAGAAATATCAGCTGAAAAGGACTCATTTTCAACTAATAAAAATATATTAATTGGGTAAATTAAATATTAAGAGTATTACGACCATTGTTTTCAAGGATTTTCCAGTCAATGTCATAGTAACAAATCTTACATTAAGGATGCAGAAGAGTGTATCGTGAGGTAATCTCATGCCTGTGCATGCATGTTTCAAAGCTCCGGTGTTATGCTTCTCCTTTTCCTGTAATAGAATTGAGACTTCAATTATGAACCATTTTGTGGAGCAACTTCTTTCATTTCAGTAATTCTTTATACAGTGATTTGCTTTCGATTCTTGTTCCCTTTCATCTCTGTAGTTCAGAGCCCAATTTCATTTCTGCTTGAAGCTTCTGGTTCTAATATTGCATGGATACATAATAATTGTACCTCCTGTCATAAATTTTGTTGTTCTTATTCTACATTAAATTCTTTAAATGTTTCCTTGCCAGAGTTATGACAAGAAAAATTGGTCATATACATGAATATATTGTATATATATATATACATTTACTTATGGACTTAACACACCTATATGTAAATAGAAAGAAATTAAAAGTGAATAAGGTTGATGCTTAGTATTGATGTTATAATGATTAAAGCATTAAGTTAAAGCAACTAGTCATCTATATCTGTATGATAATAACTAAAAGCATTAAGTTAAAGCAACTAGTCATCTATATCTGTATCTATATTCATAGCATATGGAATTAGAACTATGTTTAATTTCTAAGACAAACTTATGAAGACTAGATGGAGCTTGTTATGATTTGTGTCCACATGTCCCCTCTAAAGCCTCACACAGTCATGGGGGGTGGGCTTTTCAGAGGTGGGTGAATATAGAGTTTATGATTGATTCATGGTCCAACGCTGAGATTAAGAGTATGAGTGCTACAGATGCCCTAGGGCAGGTAGCCTGCGTACAGCGTGAGGGATGGAGAGGGGCTTGTCCCTTCTCCCCTTTCTTGTTGCTCATGCTGTCTCCTGCCCACAGTGTGTTGCTGTTGTCTGTGAAGCCACCCTGCCTTGGAGCCAGCTGATCATGGACTGAAACCCCTATAAACTATGAGC